AAAAAAAAAAAAGTGTTTAAAAAAACAAAATACATTAGGAGGCTGGTCAGATAGCTCAGTGGACTAAAGTGCCTGTTTAGGTAGAGCTCAGCAGCTGGAGTTTGATCCTTGGCCTGGCTCTGCCTTGCCAGGCCTGCCCCCAGGGCGCACTGTGATGGTGATTGAGACGGTATGGTGGTGCGAATCTGTAATCCTGGTTCTTGGGAGGCTGAACACAGGAGAATCACTATGAGCCCGATCTACGTAGTGAGACCCTGTAGACCCTGTCCTAAATACATTTTTAAAAAAGTAGCGTTAGGGCCACCCCTGGTGATGCATGGCTATATCTCGGCACTCAGGATCACTTGAGGCTAGCCTGAACTAAGTAGCAAGACTGTCAAAAAAACAAAAACAAACAAACAAAAAAAACCCTTCCAATACAGAGTTAGTTAACATTGAAGGTGGAAGAAGTACAAGAAGTTGAGCGTCATATATTCAATTTTATTTTAGGATTTTTTTTTTTTTTTTAATTGAGGATTGAACCTGTGCTTTTCATATAGTAGGCAAGTGCTTTACTACTGAGTGACATGCCCAGACCTTTTTATTTATTTAGGCTTTTTTAAAACATATTTAGTTATTTGGTACAGGGTCTCACTACACAGCTCAGACTCAGTGACCCTCCTGTCTCACCTCCCCAGTACAGGGATTACAGGCATCCACCACCACGCCTGGTTTTGGTGGCTGGCTTGGCGCAGGGCTGGTATGGCATGCAGCACTGGGGGTCAAATTCAGGGCCTTGTGCTTGCCATGCAGGCACTTAGTCCGCTGAGCTATCTCTCGGCCCATATTTTGGCTTTTTGAAACAGGGTCTTGCTTGGAGCATAGACTGGCCTTCAGCTGCAGCAATCCTGCCTCATTGTCCCAAATGCTAGGATTGCAGGTGTGCACCACAATGCCTGGCCTCTTTATTTATTGGGAGACATTGTCTCACTAAGTTGCCCAGGTTGGCCTTGACTGTACAGGCATGCCTCTGCCTCCCCAGCCAGCTATGATTACAGAGGTGCACCATGGTGCTGGCTGGTTTTAGCTTTTCATTTTGGGAAAGTAGTTTTTTGTTTTGTTCTGGTAATGGGGATTAAACTCAGGCCCTTGTGCTTGCCAGGCAAGCACCTATTCTACTCAGCTATCTCCCCAACCCCTGTCTTTTCGCTATCTCCCCAACCCCTATCTTTTCGTTTTGAACTGATCATACATTTATGTGAAATGTG